CTCTGTTCCACAGCGTGTTGTCCTATCTGAGCCTCCCGCGTCCTCTCTTCCGCACATTCCTGACCCTGAGTCCGACCTTGCTCAGAGTGCCACTCGTACTGTCACTCGTCTCCTCGCTACTGTCATCACTGACCCTGAATTTGAGTCTGCTGCAGCGTTTGCCCTAGTCACTGAGCTAGTCGACTTTGCAGCTAGGAGTCGTCTCGACTACGTCGCGATTCTTGTTACTGAGTCTGAGTCTGTTTGTCCTCCATCCGTCGGGGGTGAGCCTGCCCTTAGCAGTGACGTCCTTGAGGACAGGCACTTTGAGCTTGAGTGTCTTGCGGCCGCTTTACCTCGTTTCGCATCTATGGTGCTTTGCCCTGAGGGAGACCTGGATGCACTTGACATCCCTACCCCGCGCTCTTACGCTGAGGCGATTGCGGGTGAGTACTCCTCTTAGTGGCAGACAGCCATGGACGCAGAGATGGCTTCCTAGAAGTCCACAAGCACCTAAGTCGACAAGGTTCCTCCTCCTGGGGCGAACATAGTCGATGGCATGTGGTTTTTCAGAGTGAAGCGGCCACCGGGTTCTCCGCCTGCCTTCAAGGCGCGTTACGTTGCTCGAGGCTTCAGTCAGCGACAGGGGGTCGACTTCTTCCAGACCTTCTCCCCCACCTCGAAGATGACTACTCTTCTGGTGCTGCTGCACGTTGCAGCACAGCGTGACTACGAGCCGCACTCCCTCGACTTCTCCACAACTTTCTTGCAGGGCAGCCTTCACGAGGAGATTCGGCTGCTCTGCCCACCTGGCTTCACTGGGTCGTTTTCTGCGGGTACGCAATGGAGTCCCCGGCGGCCAGTCTACGGTCTCCGCCAGGCGCCCCGAGAGTGGCACGACACACTCAGGACTACACTTGCGGCTCTTGGTTTTGCTCCTTCCTCTGCTGACACGTCGCTGTTTCTACGCACCGACTCTACTCTGCCGCCGTTCTACGTTCTCGTGTACGTCGACGACTTGGTTTTTGCTAATTCTGACACTTAGGTGCTAGCCCTAGTGAAGGCGGAGCTGCAGGAGAGACACACCTGCACTGACCTGGGTGAGCTGCGTAGCTATCTTGGCTTGTAGATCACCCGGGACAGAGCATGGCACACCATCACCCTGACTCAGTCACACATGGTGCACCAAGTCCTTCGGCGCTTCAGCTTCCAGTACTCCTCGCCACAGCCCACTCCTCAGTCTATCAGCCACTCGCTCTCAGCTCCACCTTCGGACGAGTCCGTAGAGCCGAGTGGTCCGTACCCAGAGCTAGTGGTTTGCCTCATGTACCTGATGACGTGCACACGACCTGACCTTGCGTACCCTCTCAGCCGTCTGGCTCGCTACGTGGCTCCTGGTAGACACCGAATGGTGCACTTTGATGTTGCGAAGAGGGTACTGCGTTACTTGTGCTGTACATCGGGCATGGGGCTCGTGCTTGGAGGACAGGGTTCAGTGGTACTCACAGGACACTCCGACGCTTCTTGGTCCGACGACCAGGCAACTCAGCGTTCGTCACAGGGTTACACCTTCAGCCTTGGCTCTGGTTCTGTCTCGTGGAGGTCCACGCATTCTTCTTTTGTGCTTGGTTCCAGCTGTGAGGCCGAGATCTACGCAGTGGCCATGGCTGCACAGGAGCTACGCTGGCTGACCTACCTGCTGACCGACTTGGGGGAGCGGCCTCGTTCTCCTCCAGTTCTGTACGTCGACAATAAGGCCATGCTTGCCTTGTGTCGGGAGCATAGACTGGAGCACAGAACGAAGCACATTGCTCTTCGCTACTTTCTTGCTCGAGAGCTGCAGCGGCGTGGTCAGCTTCGCCTTTCTTACGTGGCCTTTCGGGCCAACACTGCTGATGTCTTCACCAAGGCCCTCGGGTCTGGTGATCTTCAGTGTTTTTGCACTGCTCTTGTGCTTCTACCTGTTCTACCTCACCTGCTTGTCTCTTGATCTTGCACTTGTTGTACACTGCTATCTATATTTATACCTGCATGTTTCCTCTTGCTAGGTTGTGATCAGTGTATTGCCTTGCTATTTTACCTCTGCATGTCAACTGGCCTTGTGGCCGCTTGCTTGTGCTCGGATTGTGTGGTGTCCTTGAGATCCACCTTGAGCTTTGTTTTGCTTTGCTCTGTTGTCTTGCTTGACTGGTCTTGTGACCGTCTTGTTGTCCCCCATTTAGCCTATGGGGGTGTGTCAAAGTACAATCTCACTTGTAGGCTATAGTGGGGCACTCCTTATGGGGTACAACACTTATAGGGTTAGTACTTGTACTTGTTAGAGACTAAGGACGGAGTCTATGAAGATTAGGGGCTGAAATATCTCAAAATCATCAACTACAATTCTGGACAGAAAAGTCGTCGTCACAAGAAACGTCGTCGACGAAAGGTGCACCCCTCTGCAGCTTCTGTCGCACAGCATTGTACTCCAAGCCCACTGATGCTGTAGCGCTCACATAGCGGACCAACCTCTTGGCCGCTTCCAGCTGCTCATGACTGGGGCGTGAAACCACACTTGCAAGCCTGGATGTAGCAAAGGCAATGTCAGGCCGCGTGTGGTTAGCCGCATAATTGAGTGCCCCCACCATGGAATGAAACAGCTTCCTGTCACTCTCACCCTCCACCTCCTCATCAGCACAGGGCTCTACAGTGAACCCCGAAGGCAGTGGGGTGGCTGGCTTTCCTCCATCTTGCAGCCCATATTTCTCAGCCAGCCCCTCACAATACTTTCTCTGGTGCAACCTCAACACTCCCTTGTCAAGGTCCCTCTCCACATGCATGCCCAAATAATACTTCACATCTCCCATCTTGGAGCACTTAAACTGCATCTCCAGCATCTCCTCCACATGCTCAATCATTGCAGACGACTTAGAGAAGAGCAGGATGTCGTCCACATACACCAGGAGCATGAGAAACTGCTCCTTCTCTTGCAGCAGGAACAAGCTGTGATCACACTCACTCTTCTTGAAACCCCCAGCCAGCAGTGTCTCCTCCAACTTGTGGTACCATGCGTGAGGAGCCTGCTTAAGGCCATAGATGGCCTTCTTCAGCCTGCACACCCTGCCGCTCCCATCATCCAACCCCTCAGGCTGCAACATGTACAGCTCCTCTAGGATGATCCCATTGAGGAAAGCAGTTGTGATGTCCATTTGCTTGATCCTCCATCCACGGTTTGCAGCCATTCCCAACATCACCCTTAGTGTAGTCCCTTTCCCCACAGGAGCAAAGATCTCGTCAAAGTCCTTCCCCTTTGTCTGCTGAAACCCCTTTGCCACAAGCCTTGACTTGTAGCGGGTCAGCTCCCCATCAGGTCCGTACTTGTGCCTGAAGATCAGCTTGGAAGAAATGGCCTTCTTCCCAGGAGGCAGCTCACACAGCTCCCACGTTTCATTCTCCAACAGAGAGTCATACTCCTCCTTCACACTCTGCTTCCACACCTTTGGTCCGGAATCATCCAACTCCACCAAATCCTTGATGTGTTGGAACATATCGTTGTTGACCGATTGGAGGATTAGGTCGTACAGCACCGCACTTTTCTCAAACCACCGATCGCGGGCGTCGCCTTCCTCCGGCATCTTCTCTTCTCCCATCGCAAGTTTCAGCAGCTTGTAGCGCTTAAATGCACTCCGCATCCGCCCGCTCCATTCCTCATATTTGGAGCCATCCAATGCCTCGATCTTGGATGGTGGCGGCTCATTCCTCTTCTCAGCTGCATCTCCACTCCCTTGACTCATTTCCTCTGCTCCCAAGCACAGGTTCCAGCTCCCCCCTTGCTGTCCACACCGAAGTCCCACTCAATTTCCACAAGTGTCGGCGCCAACGAAATTTCGGCAGAGTTTCCCCTTAGCGGAAGTCACATGCAACCTCCAGAACTCCACTTAGGCACGCCCACAGGCCATGGTGGGTCTAGGAGGGTCTTCACACTTCAGTAGACTCTCCACAAAGTCCTTAATCAGCTTGTTAGAGACTAAGGACGGAGTCTATAAAGATTAGGGGCTGAAATATCTCAAAATCGTCAACTACAATTCTGGACAGAAAAGTCGTCGTCACAAGAAACGTCGTCGACGAAAGGTCCACTGTTAGAATTCTTTAAAACTCGAGTATGTTGTAGCCCTTGACCGTGGCTATCTTTCCCAATTTGAATAGCATCAAAATATGGAGTATAACTCGAGTTATGAACTTCCGCGCACTAGGGGGTATGCTGCCATAGAAAACGTAACTCAATCACAAATTATCTCACAAGTTCACACAAGAAAGTTAGAGTAGCAATAGAACCAGGTAGGAGGGGATGAGGAGGACGAGAGGGAAGGTCCCAAGGGAGTCCCCAACCAAGGACACCCCATACCACACAATTCCCTTCTCTATAGGCACCCCAACTTTGACATTTGTCACTTTCCCAACTCATGCCATCCACCTCACCCAACTTGGCCACACTTGCCAACCTGGTTTGGCACCTCCCAACCACTTGGCAGCATCTACAGTGATGTTGACGAATTTCCCAACCCCCAAGAGTCTGTACTCCTTATGGAGTCAACACCACAACTTCCCATAGTCACCACAACCAAATATCAAAAGCATACGAACTTCCAACGTTCGTAACTTTCTTGTTCGTGCTCCGATTGAAGCGATACTTGGTTCGTCGGAAAGCTCTTGAGCAGAGGAGTCACTTCAGATATCTGCTCAAGCCAAATCACACTAAAAAAAACCAAACCGCACAAAACACAAATTCTTGCGTACGCTCACACCACGCATGCAACGCAGGAACACATGATGGGAGGCAGACAGACGTGAATGCATATGATTGCATCACACAACAGTACCCCAACTATTGCTAATCCTATCATTCCTGCAGAGTTATTCTGACATTTAGGTCTCTCTTCTTGTGTCATGCCATAGTTGGTATGGCATGAATCCCATTGTACATGAATAAGAAGTCGAGCTGGTGATGTGGTAACACAGTTACATAGACTTGGATGGGAGGATCAGCCTCCGAATGGCATGGGCGAGGGAGCAGAAGCTGGCGCCATGGGGAGTGGGTTGTCTGGGTCCTCTGATAGAGTGAAGGATGGGGGGGTAAGAGAAACAGGAAAAAATGCAGAGGGATATTAATTAAAGCCCTCAAAAGCTTGTGCTGTGGGAATTGGGTCACCTGGGAGTCCTCTGATCGGGTGAAGGGCGGCGGGAAAGAAATGCAGAGGGTGGAAGAGAGAGCCAGGGGTAAAGTTACGATTAAAGCATGCTATGAGAAAATAGGTTACAAGACAAGGTAGCTTGTACAAGGGGTCGCGCGGATGACCCTGTGACAACACATCTTCGACTCTCACAAACTGAAGTACGAAGAATAGCACTTCACAATTACACCACAGAGGTATAGGTTACTGTATATACCGATGTTCTTGTGGTGTGGAGTACAGTTAACAGAGAGGACAGAAAAAAGAGAGCGTAAGTGAAGAGAGAGACAGAGAGAGAGAGAGAGAGAGAGAGAGAGAGAGAGAGAGAGAGAGAGAGAGAGAGAGAGAGAGAGAGAGAGAGAGAGGGAGAGAACAGTAGTTGCCATATACCCACCTGCTTGGTTGTATTGTTTGTTTGGATTCAATACAAGGACCATTCGAGAGAGTACAGTAAACATACCAATATCGTTGTGCACATAGAAGCTGGCGGCGTCGATTAGATAGCTCAGCACCAGCATGATGCCCTTGAAATAGCTACTTTCTCCCTCCTGCACGTCGGGCAGACAAAAAGAATGGCACGGAGAGGAGTCGGGCAGATGAAAGAGATTGCATCAGAAGTTGGGCAGACGAAACTAGAGGGCATGTAGGGAAACGACTTCTCAAGCTGTCTCAAATCTATTGTTGAAGCAGCATTGACACAACAGGCACAACAAGAGCCCACCTGAATCGGCATTGATCCACCTGGAGCAACAGAAACCCACCTGGAGCACACAAACCCACCTAGAGCCACAGAGACCCACCTGAAGCAACCAAGACTGACCTGAAGCAGGGCGGCGATGACAAGCACTGTCATGTAGAGCGTGGCGGTCTCAAAGAGATGGAAGATGAGATCCATGGGCACTCCCATGGCCCACCCCACCACCACACAGAAGGGGAACTGCAAGCAAAGTGATGATCGAGGGGGAAGGGGCAGAGATGGGGATGTGTTGGAAGGAGGGTTTATGTTGAAGTGGCAGTCTCAATGTGGTGTAAGTTGAGATCCATAGGCACTGCCATGGGCCATGGCCCAGACCACCAGCACACAGAAGGGGATATGGAGGCGAAGACGGATGGAAACGAAAGGCTAGGTTGGGATGGGGGTTGAGGTAACCAAGGTGGGATAGGAGTGGCAGTCTAGAGGTGTAAGTTGAGATGTATAGGCACTCCCAGCCCACACCACAACCACACACAAGGGGACCTTGAGTCAAGGGAGGGGAAGAGAAGCGGTAGAGAGGTGGGAAGCTGGGGAGGCGGGGGGCTGTGGGAAGGGAGGTGGGAAGGGAGTGGCAGTCTTGAAATGCCAGCCGTAAGTTCCATGGAGAAAGAGCATGGTGGTGCATTGGTTGGTACTTTGCAGCGACAATGGCAACTTCTGATGCGACTCAAAGAAACTTACGGCGAAGATGGTGGATCTTTAGGCAACTAAAGAATATTATGACTCACAGCGAACATGGCGATCTGAGTGGAGGAGCCGATGGCAACCCCGAGGTAGATATCCTGCTGAGCAGATTGTGATTGTAGTGAAGGCAGAGGATGGTGAAATATAACGAAACCGAGTGGTGAGAAGCATGAATCGAAAAAAGAGGCGTAAAAACACTATCTAAAATGTAGAGGGGAAACATGGAACAATCTCAAAGCTACACAGCCATTTAAAGGTTTTTGTTTTCAAGAAGATTTCCTTTAGCCTTCACTATGTCCTCCCTCCTCCCCCAACCAAGCCCCCAACACCTTCCCTCCCTCTTTGCCACTTCTCTACTCGACACACCACTTGCACCCCTTCAGATCTCCTGCTTATCAAATTGCCCTTGAACACATAATCGTCAAACTGAATCCCCGCTTCATCCCCACTTTCTCCTTGGCAGCGAACATGATGGCTGAGGCATGCTCGGCTGCCCATTTGAGTCGTCAGAGGGAAGCGGGGATCGACAGAGGGAGGAGGAGGGAGGGAGTGGGAAGGGAGGTGAGGGAGAGGAGGAAGGAGCAACGCTGATCACATAGCTGCATTCCCCACAATGGGCAGGCTGATGACGCTGATGAACGCGACTGGGATGTCCCACGCGTCCGCTGCTCCCTGGTGGGGGGTGAGCGGGGAACAGAGGGGGGAAATGGAGAGGGGAGCAGTGCAGCGGAGAGGGTGGGTCAGCAGCACAACACAACAACATTCCCCACGATGGAAAGCAAGATGACATTGATGAACGCCACTGGGGTGTCCCATGCGTCCGCTGCTCCCTGATACGCAGAGACGGAAGTGCAGAGCAGTGCGGAGGAGTGGAGAGCAGTGCGGGGGAGTGGGAAACATTGCGGGGGGTCGGGAGCGTGGAGGAACAGTGCGGATCAGAGGGGAACAGTGGGGGGGAAGGCGGGTCAACAACACATCAGCATTGACGAGGGCAGCGCAGATGAAACGCCCATTGTAGTGTGCCTCAGTACAGTGTACCTCGACTCGATATAGTGTACCTCGACTTGATATAGTGTACCTCGGTACAGGGCATCTCAATATATTTACAACGTACCTCAATACAGCATACCTCGATAGCGTCGACAAGGTATTCGGAGAGGATGGAGATGAAGATTGTGATGACGCCCATCCACATGATCGCTCCCCAGAAGTCACATGATCCACCTGCCCCTCATCGTCATCATCATCACCATCCCCTCCGTCCTGCGAATACACGAGGAGGGAGAAACAAGGGAGTATGGAAGAAAGGAGTGGAAATAAATGCTTGATCATTCCCCAAAACCCCAGCACCTGCTCCTCATCGTCATCGTCGTCCCCATCCGCCCCATCCTAAAAGGGAGAAGAGGAAGGGGAAGAAAGGGTGGGAGTGGAACGAGGAAAGAGAGGGAAGAGAGAAAAGGGGAGGAGGGACAGGAAAGGAAGGGGAATGAGTGGAACAGGAAGGAGGGGAAGGGGAAGGAGGGGAAGCAAGGGAAGGAGAGGAAGGGGAAGGAGGGAAAAGAGGGGAAGGAAAGGAAGGAGGGGGCGGAGGAAAGAGAGGAAAGGGAAAAGTGAAGCCACGCCCCAGAAGCCCAGCCAACACCTTGAGGGGTCCTCATTCATGGGGAAGAGCAACAAGGTGGATTCCATTTGACTCAAATGAATTCCATTTGAGATGACTCAAAGGCAGCAAGGTGGAAGAGGATTTTGAGAGTTATAAAAAATCGAGAAGCTCCTCCTTGCAGAAAGGTTCGAATCCTTCTTTACACTCCTTTCAGCAGTACTGAAGCATGTATCAAGCGCACACACAACAACACTGTCACAATCACATTGCGGCCAGCCAAGGTACGGCACGCTGCACATGACTCACATCATCATAAAGATGGGAATGAGTTTTGAGTTGGAAGTAGAGGTAGCAGGCGTAGGCCACGAGCATCATGATGCTGATGAAGCACTTCACACTATCAGGGTATACACGTGTAGCGCACTGGACTCACGACACACTGGATCAAACGCATTATGTGCTCGCCACACATGACTGTCTCACATCATCGTATAGGTGCGAGTGCGTCTTGAGTTGGAAGTAGAGGTAGCAGGCGTAGGCCACGAGCATCATGACACTACTGAAGCAAGAGAGAGCAAGCGTGCTGTCCCTCTCGTGCAGTGCAGCTCCGTGTGTGTTGACTACAGCACTGCTGGTGCCGTGAGGCCCACACTGCCATCAGGAGCAGGCTGGAGTTCACCAGCCCTGCAGTCTGAGGAAGGGAGGAAGGGCGGAAGGAGGGTGAACAGGGAGCCATTGTGCTGTCCCTGTCGTGTAGTGCAGCTCCGTGTGTGTTGACTGCAGTAGTGCCGGTGCTGTCAGGCCCATGACCGCCATGAGGAGAAGACCTGAGTTCTCCAGTGCAGCAGACTGAGGGCGAGGAGGGTGGGAGAATGCGAAGGGGAAGAGGGGGACGAGGGGGAAGAGGGGGAAGAGGGGGAAGACTGAGGAGATTGCAGCAAGCTCAGCGTGCTGTCCCTCTCATGCAGCTCCATGTGTGTTGACTGCAGCGCTGCCGGTGCTGTCAGGCCCATGACCGCCATGAGGAGAAGACCTGAGTTCACCAGAGCAGCGGTCTGTTTGGGGGAAAGGAGAGGGACATCACAATGGATAGGGGATGGTGGGAGAGAGTGCGAATTAGTGAGAGTGCTATCCCTCTCCGTGTGTGTTGACTGCAGCACTGCGGGTATTGTTCAGCTGAGCATGAGCAGCACATTGGAGAGAGTGGACTCCAGCAGACTCATCTGCACCCCCTACTTGCACCACACTCCCCCTCATACCTACACACTCACCCAAACTCACCTTGTTGAAAGTCAGCTCCCTGTCGCGTAGCCCTCCCACATATAAGGTACATCCGAGCACGAGTAGCATGTTGGAGAGAAAAGAGCCCAGTAGACTCATCTGCACCACGCGGATCAGCCCGTTCTGCAGAGCGAAGATAGATATGATGAGATATGTGACGTTGCCAAAGGTGGCGTTGAGAAGGCCTCCCACTGGCGAGGGGAGAGGTGAGGGGAAGGACGACGAGAGGAGAGGGAAGAGGGGGGGGGGGGGGAGAGAGAAAGAGAGAGGAGATTGAGAGAGGAGAGAAAGAGAGGCGGTCAGTGGAAAGATTTAGATAATGAGCCAAGAGAGGTGGTTCTGAGGTGTCGCTTCACCACAGGTGGGGTTGATTGAGAAAAGCACCAATGGTTGAGGAATGGAACAGGAAACACGTCTGATGGATTTGACGAAATAGAATAGGCAGGCTTCGAAGCTTGACAATGGGAGCAAGATGAGGGGTTGCACACAGAAGGCGCATGTGACGTGACAGAAAGTGTCACTTATGGGTTGGGCCAGTGTACAGTGCCAGCTGTCTGCACGAGATTGGCCAGGGAAGGGGGGAGGCAGGGGAGGCTGAAATGGTTGCCGCAGAGAGTGGAATGGCAGCGACAAAAAGAATACTAGAGTGGTAATATGGAATTAGAATGTGTTTGATTACTCTATATTCTAGTATGCAGCAGATGGAATGGAAAGCAGGTAGAGAGTGGTTGGACGTTGCTGTGGGAGAATGGAATGGACAACACGCACTCACTCTATGATCAGCACGAGCAACCAGTTTTGAGTCTACTAGTTTTGAGTCTACTAGTTTTGATTCGACTAGTTTTGAGTCGACTCAAAACAACACGCACTCACTCTACGATCAGCACAAGCAGCCACAGCATAGCACCGCACACAATGCTCCTCTGCACTCACTCTGTGACAAACCCTAGTCTCTTTGCCAATGGAGCGATTCCCAGCAGAAAGAAGGTCAAGATCTAGACCTGGGAAAAGGGACAGGGAGGGAAGAAGCAGCTAGATAAGCTGGCTATTAAGTCAATTCGATTTGCAAGAAATGAATCAATGTGGGTTTGACCATGGAGCAGCGAGTACAGGAATGGTTGCTTGCTCGCAACTGCAGCGAATTCTGATGGGCATGAAGGGAAACACTAAGCGGATTCAATCAATAAGGTGGTGCTCAAGGGTTCTCTGATTCCGCTGGTAACCAAATCCCCTTTGACGGATCTTCAAAGTCACACAGGCACCTGAGGCCATTTGACAACGGTGACAGCGAGGATGGAGCGTGGGAGGAGCACGAGCAGCAGCAGGTTGGGAAGGAGCTCCTGATCCCTCACCCCTCACCTTGTGAACTCGTAACATGATGATGATTTAAGGGACTAGACCGCCCCCTTAGGCATGCGTGACTTGCCCAACCCTTCATCCGAGTCCGAGTCGAGATATTCCCGCGGCTTGCTGAGGGAAGAAAGGGGCGAGACGGAGAGCAGAGGAGTTGTGAGTTTTCCCTCTGGGTTGCATGGAGGATTCACCCCAGGCCAGCCCAGGAGAGGAGAGGAAGAGAGCACGTTGAGCGAGCACCCAAGGAAGAGAGCCACAAGGCTCTTCCGCAAGTACTCCTCTCACGTCGCCGTCACCGCCCCTTTTGAAAGGCGTGCTTTCCCCACCCCTTCATTCGAGTCCGAGTCACGGGGCTTTCTAGGGGAGGGGAAAGGGGAGGGAGGAGGGGGTGGGTTGGGGGAAGGGAGGGTTGGGAGTACGAGGGGAGGCAACAATGTTGGGTAGAAACCTTGTAGGTCCAGATAAACCATATTAGTATGTATGAGGATCCAGATCCAGGTGCCGTCATGGTCCTTAGCTCTCATTTGGGTGCAGTCCAATAGTTCTTAGCTGTCATTTGGATGCTGTACTCATCCTGTTAGTCTGGTTTGGGTGCTGTACTATCCTTTAGTCTGGTTTGGGTGTTGTACTATCCTTTAGTCTGGTTAGGTTGCTGTACTATCCTTTAGTCTGGTTTTGGTGTTGTACTATCCTTTAGTCTGGTTTGGGTGTTGTACTATCATTTGGCCTGGTTTGCTCCCCCCTCCTCTTCTAAAGCTCTTGCCTCGGTTTTCCTTCTCTCCTCACCTCAGTGTGTTGTTGTCCCTGACTCCCTACGCCCTGTATTGTCCGGGGAAGATCATATTGCAATCCACTAAGAGGGCGCTGGAGGTGGAGAGGCAGGTAGCTCATGCATGTCTGCCCTTGCAAATCGCGTGCTCGTATTTGCCTTTACTGCTCCGTACCACCCATTTTTAAGAGATCCAGAGCAGTTGTTGTATGGAGCAGGTCATTTCACAGTCCACCAGGAGGGAGCAGGAAAGGAGCAGGGGGCAGTGTGTGCGGGGGGGGGACGAGGCTGCAGTAGTGGAAGGGCAGTCAAACGTGCTGGAGGCGGTGAAGCGGATGGTGGGAGGAAACCCTGATGCCATTTGTTTCCATTTGGCAGACGTACGTGGTATGCTCTATAGTATGAGAATGGTAGCTAAAAGGACAGCTGGTTGCGGAGACGTATATGGTAGAGGTAGAGCGAGAGGCGCTGCAGCTGTGATGTTAAGGCGGTGAGACAAGCGGTACTTCTGATCCTCATGCGATGTTCGGGATCCTGAGGTAGTGCTTGTGTTTCAAGAATCACCATTTGGGGATGCTTAGGATAAAAAACACTGCTTGTGGGTCAGAAACATTGCTTAGGGTTGGGACACCACTTCAGGATCCGCTCTTATGTGGTGTTTTCCCGTTCCTAGGGTGGTTGCATGATGTTGCCCGTTTGTTGTGGTCTTTCCTATAATCATGCGGTGTTTCTGATTTCTTGTGTGATATCTTCTTTCTTACCCCTGATGTAGCACGGATAATGAAGTTGGAGGAGCTGGTGAAAGCGGGAATTAGTGAGGAGGAGAAAATGGAGTCATTGGAGCGGCTGAAGAACGTTATGAGGGAAGATTTGCAAGAGGCGCTTGATAAATTTGAGATGCAAAGGGGCCCAATCGAGGTGCTGCAAAGGGAAAAGGAGCAGCTTCGAGCAAAACTCGTTTGCATGGAGGAGCAGGTGAGGGCGGATGAGTGAAATGGAGGGCTTGTGTGTGAGCGTGGAGGAGGAATCATGGGAGAGAAATGGGCGGATGAAGTGGGGGGCTGGTGATTGGGGAAGAGGAATAGGCATTGAAAATTACAGTGGCTTTCTCCATACCACTTGGCATCACGTTCAGGAAGAGCTCCCCTCTTTTTGTGCATGCAGGCCCACGTGCAGTGTGGAGTGGCCGAGGCCAAGGTTGGTATGTTGCTGCAACATGTGGCAGCATCCCAACAGGCAGAGTTTGCTCTCAAGATGCAAGCAGTGGAGCAGGACGGACAGAGGGCTGCCCTCGCATAGGAGTTGCAAGCATGCTAGGCTGAACAGGCAAGAAATGCTGCTGAAATTGAGAGAATTGCTGCCGAGAGGGACGAGTTTGCCAGGGAAACCGCACAGCTGCTGCTTGTAGAGCGGGAGGTGAGGCAAAAACAGGTGGAGGCTTTGGTGGAGGCGAAGGAGAGGGCTGTGGGGCAAGCAGTGGAGCTAGCAGCTGCTAGCGAGAGAAGTGCAGCTGCAAGGGAGAGAGCTGCAGTGCAGGAAAGGCAGCTGAGGGCAGATATGGAAAAGGCACATAAGCAGATGAAGGTTTTAGTGGAGGAGAAGGAGAGGGCTTGGGAGCATTTGGTAGAGGCAAGAGCTGCTGAGAGGGAGAAAGAGAGGGCTCTGGACGAGCAGAAGCATGCTTTGGAAGCTGCTCTCGAGGGAGCGAGGCGAAAGGCGGTGGAGATTGGAGATATGAGAGAGAAGGTGGGACAGTTTGAAGAGGAGAAGAGGGCGTTGCAGGAGGCCTTTGAGGGAGTGAAGAGACAGCAGGTGGAGATGGAAGCTGCTGGGAGAGAACAGGCGAGGGCGTTGGAATGGCAGAAGAGTGTGTTGGTGGAGGTGGTTGAAGGAATGAAGAGAAAACAGTTAGAGGCAGAAGCTGCTGGGAGAGAAAGGGTGAGGGCGTTGGAAGGTCAAAAGAAGACCTTGGAGGTTTCGGTTGAGGAAATGAAGAGGAAGATGGAATATCTTAGGAGAGGGTAGGTGAGGGCGTTGGTGGGGCAGAAGGAAGGGCTCAGATTGGAGCAAGAGCAGGTGATTTTTTCCGTAACCCAACTGGAAGAGCTTAGGTTCGAGAGGGAGCGGGTGGATTTTCCTGCAGGCCAACTGGGTCATAGTAAACGATTGCTGGAGGCTGACTCTGCAGCTGCTACCCCTGATTCTGCCGTCCCTTCTACTATGGTTTCCTCCTCTGTTGCTGTCCTTGCTTCTGCTCCTGCTCCCGCTGCTGCTATTCCTGCGACTACTGGTACTGTTATCCCTACTACTGCTGCTTCTGCTGCTATCCTTGCTCCTGCTGATGCTGTTTCTGTCGCTGCTGCTGCGATCCCTTCTGCTGAAGCTACTATCCCTGTTGATGCTGCTACTATACCTGCTGCTGCTGCTGCTGCAGCTTCTATACCTGTTGCTGCTGTTACACCTGCTGCTGCTGCCGCTGCCATACCTGCTGCTGCTGATTTTGCTGCTATTGTTGCTATACCTGCTGCTGCCTCTTCTGCTGCTGCTTCTGCTTCTGCTGCTGCTGCTGCTTCTGCTTCTGCTTCTGCTGCTGCTGCTGCTTCTATACCTGCTGCTGCCTCATCCGCTGCTGCTCCTGCTGCTGTTGCTGCTACTAATCCTGCTGCTGCTGCTGTAGAGAGCACAGTCGCCTTGGTTGACATTGCAACGATTGGGCTCCCTCCTGTCACAATTGTGAGGCAATTCAAGACGAGCACCAAAATGGTGAAGGGGTTGTTAACATCTGTCGACCTGAAGGGGCGAGCACCTGCGAGGAGCTGAAAAAACTACAGGACCTACTGGATTCAGCTGGTGAGACTGTTCGTGTAGGGAGGGGCGGAGGGGGCAGTGGTGATGGCAGCGACCGGAAGGGGAAATACCAGAGCACCTGCGAGGAGCTGAAAAAACTGCAGGATCTATTAGAGTCTGCTGGTGAGATTGTTCATGTAGAGAGGGAAAGGAGAATCCAGTCTCAACCGCTGGAGCGGGGGGGAGGTGTTCCAAGCCGGAAAGCTAAGGTGACTGGTGTGCATGTCATTGCCACTGAAATAGTGGCGACATTTTACTATGGCACTCCAAGAAAGGAATGTTTTTTTGTTGGAAGGTGGACAGAGAAATCGCAGCAGAGTGTTTTCGAGGCGGGGCAGTGCACCCTTTTTGCGTTTTACGTCTTCAGAAGGGCGGACCAGGCCGCGTCATTATACAGGAGGTACTTAGGGGAGAGGCTGATGAGCAGGCTGCAAAACCCGTCTGAGGAAGAGGTTCGTTGGTTTCTGGGGGTGTTACGTGAAGGCAAGAAGTGGAGTACGATGGTGGCCGTTTTTGTGTGCGAATACCCGCTATCAGCAACAGATTTGTTGGTAGCAGCAGGCGAGTTGGCAGTAGATGAGGGGGGTGCTGATGCACTGGAGGAAGGCGGTGTTGGCAGCGGTGATGGAGACTCGGCAAATGGACCTCCAACCTGGCCGGTCTATCTTCAAGCATTCTGCAAGGAAATGGGGTAGTTGAGTAGGGATTACCAGATTAGTCAATACCATCAGCGGCCAGAAATCAGGTGCAAAATCTGGGGCAAGTTGCACGTAGCTGAGAGGCTGCTAGGTGAGTGGGAATTCTATAATGTCACTCGCTCACCAGATGGAGGAGGGAGGACCCAGGCGCTCTTTCACCATGGCCAGAAGAAGAACCGGTCTCTCGGCTCATGGAATGACGACTCGCTTCAGTCATTCTCTGCTGCGCGAAAACTGGTACTTTCTGCAGAGTTTGTCTTTGCACGGAGCGAGCACGCAGTGGTGCGTGGGGCGAGGAGGTTGCCGGATTTCTGGAAGCACTGCAAACGATTTCTTGGAGAGCCACTTATGGGGAAGTTGGAAGCGGTTGAGAAAGAGCAGGCGTTTAAAGCCCTTGAAACGCATACGTGGGGGGGCTTTGTTGATGAAGTTGAGAAGACTGAAAAGGGAAAACCTATCAAGGAGCCATGGAAACTGGTGCCTTATCGAGGTGTGTTTGGGAAGAGAACAAGGAGGAGGGATGAGGGGGAGGAGGAAGGACGAGGAGGGGGAGGTGGAAGGATGAAGAGGAGGAACGACAAGGGGGGGATTGAGGAGAAGGGAGCGCATGAAGGAGGGGGAAGAAGGGAAAAGAAGAGGCGAAGTAGGTTGAGTGGGGAGCAACGGGAGGGGACTGACATGGCAAGTGGGAAGGGTGTACGATATGCCTTGTGCATGGGTTGCTGGAGTGTGCATGGGCTGCTGGAGTGTGCATGGGCTGCTGGAGTGTGCATGGGCTGCTGGAGTGTACATGGGCTGCTGGAGTGTGCATGGGCTGCTGGAGTGTGCATGGGCTGCTGGAGTGTACATGGGGTGTGCATGGGTTGCTGGGGTGTGCATGGGCTGCTAGGGTATGCATAGGCTTGTAGTGGTTTTCATTCGTGTGTGCTTTCATCTCCAGTTGTTCTTTCATTTTTATTTGGGAGTTGGTGTGCATTGGGCATTAGAAATTGGTGAATATTTCAACGTGCGGTGGAGCACACTAGCCAAGGCAGAAGCACCAGTGTACTTAAGCAGCCTGTATGGAGAGGTTCTTGCAATTGCTGGTTTGTCTCCTCTTGTCTGCGCCAGTGGGGGATGATGCAGTCAAGGGAGAATTCACAAAGACTTTCATATTGGAAGAATGCAGTGAGCAGGAGCTAGGAGAAAGGATCAGAGAGCAAGGCACGGCAAGGCAAGAGGCCAAGAAAAGGGGATAACGAAGGATTGTAAGAAAAAAGGGAGCAAACGGGGAAATGGACCAGAGGGAGTGGGGCTAAGTTCAGCTGACAGGGATGGGCCAGTTTTCCCCTCATTGCATATCACCACATGTCTCCTCTCTGCTTGTCCCTTTGCAGGTTGAGAAGTCAGAGTAGGTGGAGAAGCGCAGAATGACGGAGCAGGTGGAAAAGCACAGGGTGAGGTGAGGAGCAAGAATGCTCTAGGACAAGAAATCAGCACTTCGATACAAAATTGACACTGCTGGACAATAGATCAACATTGCTCATCCTCGCCATCATCTCGCCTGTAATTCCCCAGGCTTGCTGTTGCCACTCCTGCTGTTCCATTCACTGTTGCTTCTGGCACTGTTTCAACATGCCACATTGTCACTGGTGTGTGTTGCGCTTCCACATACATGCATCAAGATGAAATTTCTACAAACGAATGCGCCTTCATTTTAGTCATACTTGTTCTCGACGTCTGTTCTATCCGCTTTTCGTTCTCCATTTTTGGAATCACTCACTCTTCCGCTCCAGTCTTCTCCTTGCTCTCTTGTCCCTCCAAGGTGATTGCGACTATATACTCACTTTGCTGCTCCAATCTCCTCCTTGCCCCCTTGTCCCTTCCAGGTGATAGCTCGGTGAGAGCTCTCACCTGCTATGGTGCTCAAGCCAACGCAGACGAAGGATGCGCCTGTGAAACGGCTATGGTAAGTCACATCCTTTCCAAATCACCGTCGATTTGCAGGTTTTGTTTGTATCATCAAGCGAAAGATGGGACTCTTTGCTGTGGCGAGCCAGTCCCCTTCTCCTCTCACAACGTTTCCAGGTTTTCTTGAAAGATGACGTCCCATGTGAACCCACAGTTCTTACAAACCTCTTCTCATTCATTACTAGCCCACCACTTTTATTACTGGATTGTTTCAAGTGTATTGCTAACCCATCCCATTACAACCGTCCTTCTCACCCCATATTATCTTGTCCCATCCCATCCCATTGATCTCATCCCATTGACCCCATCATCCCTTTTCGTCCCATCCCATCCCATAACATACATCCCATCCCATCCCATCCCATCCCATCCCATCCATCCCATCTCAACCCATCCCAACCCATCTCATCCTATCCCATCCCATCCCAATCCCATCCTATCGCATACCATCCCATTCCATCCCATCCCATCTCTCAACCCATCTTAACCCATCCCATCCCATCCTATCCCATCCCATCCCATCCCATCCTATCCAATCCCATCCCATCCCACTCCATCCCACCCTATCTCATCCCATCCCATCTCATCCCACCCCATACCCCACCTTACCCCACCCCATTGCACCCCATTCCACACCATCCCATCCCACCCTATCCATTCTCATCCCACCCCATCCCACCCATTCCGTCCGATCCCATCCCATCCCATCCCATCCCTTCCCATCCCATCCCATCCCATCCCATATCCCATCCCATCCCAACCCCATCACATCCCATCCCATCCCACTACACCACACCTCATCTCAGCTCACCTCACCCCACCTCACCTCACTGCTCCTCACCTCACCTCATCTCATCTCAACTCCCCTCCTCTAATTCCATCCCACCTCATCACATCCCACCTCATCACATCCCACCCCACTCCACCCCACCCCATTCCATCCCATCCCATCCCATCGTGTCTCACTTTGCGTCATCTCATCTCACCTCATCTCACCTCACCCCACCTCATCCCATCCATTCCCATGCCTTCCCACTGCACCTCATCCCATCTCACCCCACCACACGTCACCTCACGTCACCTCACCTCACCTCACCTCACCTCATCTCACCTCACCACACCTCACCTCACCACACCTCACCCCATTGCATCTCACCTCATCTCATCTCATCTCATCTCATCTCTTCTCATCCTCCTCGTGTCCTCTTCAAACTTACTCACTTTCCTCCTTAACCAATCCCGTGCAGACAGCTGACATTGTATGAGGCCCAGCACATCATTTATCAGATATTTTGTTTCTCATATACCAACACTGTTACAACATGCATTGCAACATGCGCCTCTGCTGTTGTAGAATCTTGTTTGCCTAAGAACTGTAGATGTACCAGCCATACCATCCTGTTGCAACAGCCATACCGTCCTGTAGCAACACCCGTACCATCCTATTGCAACACCTATACCATCCTCTAGCAACATCCATACCATCCTCTAGCAACATCATGCCAGCCTTTGCATCTTGTTTGACTCTCC